CGTCCGGGTACTTGCTCTCCACCAGCTGTTTGGTTTTCTCGATCATCTGGCGCCCGAAGCCGGTGACGCTCTGCAGGTGAGGCACAGGTGGGGCTCAGGTGAGGCCCAGGTGGGGCTCAGGTGTGCCCCAGGTGTCCCTCAGGTGTGCCCAGGTGTGATTTGGGTTCCTCAGCTGCGCCCAAGTGTTCTCAGGTGTGCCCAGGTGTCCCTCAGGTGTCCCTCAGGTGTGCCCAGGTGTGATTTGGGCTCCTCAGGTGTGGTTTGGGGGTGCCCAGGTGTGTTCCCTGTGCCCAGGTGTGCCCAGGTGTGCCCAGACCGCTCCCAGGTGTGCCCAGGTGTGTTACCTGTGCCCAGGTGTGCCCAGGTGTGTTTGGGGCTATCCCAGGTGTGTTTACCTGTGCCCAGACTCCTCCCAGGTGTGTTACCTGTGCCCAGGTGTGCCCAGACCCCTCCCAGGTGTGTTACCTGTGCCCAGGTGTGCCCAGACCCCTCTCAGGTGTGCCCAGGTGTGCCCAGGTGTGCTCACCTGGGATATCTCGAGGCAGGGCAGGCGCCCGGCCTGCGCCCCGGTGAAGCCGTAGACGGAGTTGGCGCTGACCTTGAGCGCCAGCTGCCGCCCGTCCAGCACCTGGCGCCGCTCGGGGTCCTGCTCCTCGGCCAGCGCCGCCTTCACCCTGCCAGGACCCGCAGGTGAGCGCACCTGGGCGCAGGTGATCACACCTGGGCAGAAACTCCCATGGAAATCACAAAAATCTCCACAAAAATGGTCAAAAATTCCCATGGAAATGGTCAAAAATTCACTCAAATTTCCCATTTTACCCTGCCAGGACCCGCAGGTGAGCGCACCTGGGCGACCAGTATGGACCAGTATAAACCAGTACAGACCAGTATGGACCAGTATAAACCAATATAAATTAATGGAAACCAGTATGGACCAGTATGGACCCAGCTGCCCCGTGGGGGTGCGGATGAAATCCTTGGGGCCCAGCCTGGAGGGAGACCAGTACAAACCAGTAAGAACCAGTATGGACCACTTCAAACCCATCAAACCAGTACAAACCAGTCCCAAACCAGTATAAACCAGTCCAAACCAGTACAAACCCGAATTTCTGGGGGCCCCCCGGGGGCAGCAGGGTGGTGTAGCACAGGTTGTGGGCGATCATGATCGACGGGTACAGAGAGGAGAAATCCAGCGTGGCGATGGGCACGTCGTAGTACCTGGGCACAAAATTTGGGGATTTTGGGGCTTTTTGGGGATTTTTGGGATTTTTCAGAATTTTTGGGGTTTTTTCCGGAAATTTTTGGGGTTTTTTCCAGCAATTTTTTTGGTTTTTTCCAGAGATTTTTTCCAGGGTGGCGATGGGAACATCGTAGTGCCTGGGCACAAAATTTGGGGATTTTGGGGTTTTTTGGGGTGTTTTGGGTTTTTTTGGGATTTTTCAGAAATTTGGGGTTTTTTTCCAGAAACTTTTGGGTTTTTTTCCAGAAATTTTTTGGGTTTTTTCCAGAAATTTTTTCCAGGGTGGCGATGGGCATGTCATAGTGCCTGGGCACAAAATTTGGTAATTTTGGGGGTTTTTGGGGTTTTTTGGTTTTTTTTTTCAGAATTTTTTGGGTTTTTTTCAGAATTTTTTTTTAGTTTTTTATCAAAAATTTTTAGGGCTTTTAATTTTTTTTAGTGGGATTTTTTGGGGAATTTTTGGGGCTTTTTTGGGGGATTTTTTGAGGGTTTTTCTATATTTTTGAGGGTTCTTTGGTTTTTTTTTTAGGGTTCGCTCAGTGGTTTTGAAGGGAAACAAATTATTCAAGTGAGTCCAAACCAGTCCAAACCAGTCCAAACCAGTACAAACCAGTACAAACCAGTACAAACCCGAATTTCTGGGGGCCCCCCGGGGGCAGCAGGGTGGTGTAGCACAGGTACAGAGAATGGAGAGCTCCCAGTACAAACCAGTATAAACCAGTCCCAAACCACTCCCAAACCAGTACAAACCAGTATAAACCAGTCCAAACCAGTCCAAACCAGTCCAAACCAGTCCAAACCAGTATGGACCAGTATAAACCAGTACAAACCCGAATTTCTGGGGGCCCCCCGGGGGCAGCAGGGTGGTGTAGCACAGGTTGTGGGCGATCATGATCGACGGGTACAGAGAGGAGAAATCCAGCGTGGCGATGGGCACGTCGTAGTACCTGGGCACAAAATTTGGGGATTTTTGGGGTTTTTTTGGGATTTTTGGGGTTTTTCAGAAATTTTTGGGGTTTTTTCCGGAAATTTTTGGGGTTTTTTCCAGCAATTTTTTTGGTTTTTTCCAGAGATTTTTTCCAGGGTGGCGATGGGAACATCGTAGTGCCTGGGCACAAAATTTGGGGATTTTGGGGTTTTTTGGGGTGTTTTGGGTTTTTTTGGGATTTTTGTGAAATTTTTGGGTTTTTTCCAGGAATTTTTTGGGGTTTTTTTCAGAATTTTTTGGGTTTTTTTCAAGTTTTTTTACAGTTTTTTATAAAAAATTTTTAGGGGATTTAATTTTTTTTAGTGGACTTTTTGGGGGATTTTTAGGGGTTTTTTGGGATTTTGTGAGGGTTTTATTTAATATTTTTGAGGGTTTTTTGGGTGGTTTTTTTCAGTATTTGCTTAGTGGTTTTGCAGGTTTTTTTTTGAGAAGGATTTGGGGAATTTTTGGGGCTTTTTTGGGGGATTTTTTGAGGGTTTTTCTATATTTTTGAGGGTTCTTTGGTTTTTTTTTTAGGGTTCGCTCAGTGGTTTTGAAGGGGTTTTTTTTTTGAGAAGGATTTGGGGAATTTTTGGGGTTTTTTGTGCCCCCCACGAGTACAAAGAGGAGAAGCCCAGCGTGGCATGGGGACATAATAGTACCTGAGGAAGAAGATTTGGGGTTTTTTGGGTTTTATTCTGAGTTTTTGGGGTTTTTTTGGGTTTTATTCAGAGTTTTTGGGGTTTTTTTTGGGTTTTCTTGAGAGTTTTTGGGGGTTTTTTGGGTTTTCTTCTGATTTTTTGGGTTTTTTTTTTGTGGTTTTGAAGGGTTTTTTGAGGTTTTTTTGGGGGTTTATTGGGTGGTTTTGAGAGGTTTTTTTTCAGGGAGCATGAGGGAATTTTTCAGTGCTTTTTTTTTGGAGGGGTTTTAGAGGGGGATTTGGGGAATTTTTGGGGTTTTTTGTGACCCCCACTCACCCCTTGAGGGGCTCGATCACCGTGGCCCCCTCGAAATCCTCTCCCCCTTCCGACTTCACCACCGGCAGCAGCAAATCCTCCTGCATGGCCTGGGAGGGCAAAAAAACACCCCAAAATGTCCCAAATTCACCCCAAAAATATCCCAGAAAGCATGCCCTGAAAACCCATAAAAATCCCATTAAAAAAAATCGAAATCCTCAAAAAATACCCTTAAAAATCCCTAAAAATCCTTCCCCCAAAACTCCAAAAATCCCATTAAAAAAAGAAAATTCAAATCCCCAAAAATCCCCAAAAAATCCCCTTAATAATCCTTCCCCCCCCAAAAAAAAAAATCCTATTCAAAAATCCCTCAAAATCCCCAAAAAATCCCCTAAAAAAATCCCTAAAAAACCTTCCCAAAAAAAACCCCAAAAATCCCACTCAAAAATCCGAAAAAATCCCCTCCAAAATCCCCAAGAATCCTATTTTAAAAACACCCAAATCTCCAAAAATCCCTGAAATACCTTCCCAAAATTCACCCCAAAACAGCCCCAGGTGTCCCCAATGTTCCCAAATCCCTCTCAGTGTCCCCAAATGTCCCCAAATCCCCTCACCTACAGCTCTGTTGCTGTCAGCCATTTTCTCCCCTCACGTTTCCCGCCCTTTTCCCCCTCACGTTTCCCACCATTTTCCCCTCATTTTCCACCCTTTTCCCCTCAGGTTCCTGCCCTTTTCCCCTCACATTTCCTCCCTTTCTCCCCTCACATTTTTCTCCTTTTTCCCCTCAGATTTCCCTCCATTTTCCCCTCACATTTCTCTCCTTTTTCCCGTCGCATTTCTGTCCCTTTTTCTCTCACATTCACCACCATTTTCCCCTCACATTTCTGCTCTTTTTCCCCTCACATTTTCTCTCCCTTTCCATCCCTCACATTCGCTGCCCTTTTCCCCTCACATTTCTCTCCTTTTTCCCGTCACATTTCTCTCCCTTTTTCTCTCACATTCGCCACCATTTTCCCCTCACATTTCCCTCCATTTTCCCCCTCACATTCCCCACCATTTTCCCCTCATATATCTCTCACTTTTCCCCTCACATTTTCCACCCTTTTTGCCTCATGTTTCCCTCCATTTTCCCCTTACATTTCCACCCTTTTCCGCCCTCACATTTCCCACCACTTTCCCCTCACATTTCCTACCATTTTCCCCTTACATTTCTCACCATTTTCCCCTCACACTTCCCGCCATTTTCCCCTCACATCCACCGCCCTTTCCCCCTCACATTTCCCACCATTTTGCCCTCACATTTCCACCCTTTTCCCCTCACATTTCCCCCTCACATTCCCCACCATTTCCCCCTCACATTTCCCACCATTTTCCCCTCACACTCACCGCCATTTCCCCCTCACATTTCCTGCCATTTTCCCCTCACATTTCCCTGCATTTTCTCCTCACATTTCCAACCATTTTCCCCTCAATTTCACCACCATTTTCCCCTCACATTCGCCACCATTTTCTCCTCATATTTCCCGCCATTTTCCTCTCACACTCACCGCCCTTTTCCCCTCACACTTCTCTCCCTCTTCCCCTCACATTTCCCACGATTTCCCCTCACATTTCCCTCCATTTTCCTCTCACATTCACCGCCATTTTCCCTTCACATTCACCACCATTTTCCCCTCACATTCGGCATCATTTTCCCCTCACACTCACCGCCCTTTTCGCCTCACATTTCCCTCTATTTCCCCTTCACATTCCCCACCATTTTGCCCTCACATTTCCCTCTATTTCCCCCTCACATTCCCCACCATTTTCCCCTCATGTTTCCCTCCATTTTCCCCTCACATTTCCCACCATTTTCCCCTCACACTCACCACCATTTCCCCCTCACATTTCCCTCCATTTTCGCTTCATATTTCCCTCCATTTTCCCCTCACATTTCCCACCATTTTCCCCTCATATTCCCTCCATTTTCCCCTCACACTCACCACCATTTTCCCCTCACACTCACCACCATTTCCCCCTCACACTTCCCACCATATTTCCCTCCATTTTCGCTTCATGTTTCCACCATTTTCCCCTCATGTTTCCCTCCATTTCCCCCTCACATTTCCCTCCATTTTCCCCTCACACTCACCACCATTTTCCCCTCACACTTCCCACCCCCAACACCCCCTCAACGTCCCCAATCCCCCTCACCCCCCGAACCCGCCACGTCCCCACCGTCACCTGCCGCAGGAGCTGCGCCACCACCTTGACCTGCTGGCCGCGGGTGAGCAGGTAGCTGAGGGGCACGGCCGTCACCCGCGCCATCTCCACCAGCGTCACCAGCGTCATCAGGCGCTCGAGCAGCCGCAGCGGCAGCAAGGCGTCCTTCAGGCAGTACAGCGCCAGGCGGCGCCGCGTCTGCGCGTCGCCGTTCTGAGGGGACGGCGGGGACAGGGGTGAGCGGGGCTGGGGACATTGGGGACAGCCTTAGGGACATCAGGGACAGGGGTCAGTGGGGCTGGGACACCGTTGGAGACATTGGGGACAGCGGGGACAGGGGTGATCAGGGCCGGGACATCCTTAGGGACATTGGGGACAGCCTTAGGGACAGCGGGGACAGGGGTGATCAGGGCCGGGACATCCTTAGGGACATTGGGGACAGCCTTAGGGACAGCGGGGACAGGGGTGAGCAGGGCCGGGACACCATTGGGGACATAGGGGAGAGCCTTAGGGACACTGGGGACAGGGGTGATCAGGGGTGGGACACCCTTAGGGACATGGGGACAGCCTTAGGGACGGCGGGGACAGGGGTGAGCAGGGCTGGGGACATTGGGGACAGCCTTAGGGACAGCGGGGACAGGGGTGAGCAGGGCCGGGACACCATTGGGGACATAGGGGAGAGCCTTAGGGACACTGGGGACAGTAGTGAGTGGGGCTGGGACACCCTTAGGGACATGGGGACATTAGGGACACCATTAGGGACAGTGGGGACACCCTTAGGGACATGGGGACACCCTTAGGGACATTGGGGACAGCCTTAGGGACATCAGGGACAGGGGTCAGTGGGGCTGGGACACCGTTGGGGACATTGGGGACAGCGGTGAGTGGGACTGGGACACCCTTAAGGACATTGGGGACAGTGGTCAGTGGGGCTGGGACACCCTTAGGGACATTGGGGACACCCTTAGGGACATTGGGGACAGGGGTGAGCGGGGCTGGGACACTGCTGGAGACATTGGGGACACCCTTAGGGACATTGGGGACACCACTGGGGACATCCCTGAGTCATTGGTTGTCAAGGTGGGTACACTCGGTGACACAGGGGCCATTTTGAGGCTGTTTGTGGCCATTTTGGGACCGTTTAGAGCCATTTTGGGCTCATTTTGAGCCATTTTGGGGCCATTTGGTGGCACGCCTGTAACTCCAGGTGAGCCAGGTGACACTTGGGGACACTTTGGGGACACACCTGCAGCTCGGTGATGATGTAATGAGGGACACAGGCGCCATTTTGGGCCATTTTGAGCCAATTTTGAGCCATTTTGTGCCATTTTGTGGCACACCTGTAACTCCAGGTGGCCCAGGTGAGCCAGGTGACACTTGGGGACACTTTTGGGGACACTTTTGGGGCCACACCTGCAGCTCGGTGATGATGCCGTGGGGCACGTCCTCCTTCTGCTCGTGCAGGAAGTGCGCGCTGACGGCGTTCAGCGAGTACGAGCGCAGCTTGTGCTCCCTCAGCAGCACCTGGGGAGCCCACAACACCCCAAAACTCACCTGGGGAACCCCAAATTCACCTGGGGGACCCCAAATTTACCTGGGGAGCACAAATTCCTGACAAAAACCCCAAAGTCTGCCCCAAAAAATCCCAAAAATTGACCTGGAATGGGCAAAAATGGTGCTGGGACACCCCAAAGGTGAGTCCAAACTCACCTGGGGAGCCCAAAACACCCCAAAATTCACCTGGGGAACCCCAAAATTCACCTGGGGGACCCCAAAACTCACCTGGGGACTCCAAATTTACCTGGGGAGCCCAAAATTCACCTGGGGAACCCCAAAATTCACCTGGGGGACCCCAAATTTACCTGGGGGACCCCAAAATTTACCTGAGGAGTCCAAAACCAACCCCAAAGCACCCCAAACCCTTCCCAGGTGTGTCCAGGTGTGTCCCAGGTGTGCCCAGGTGTGTTTTAACCCCTCCCAGGTGTGCCCAGGTGTGTTTTAACCTCACTCAGGTGTGCCCAGGTGTGTTTTCACCCCTCCCAGGTGTGTCTCAGGTGTGCCCAGGTGTGTTTTAACCTTGCTCAGGTGTGCCCAGGTGTGTCCCTCACCTGCAGCATGTCCAGGGTGACCCTCCCAGGTGTGTTCACCACCTTGCCCTCGCGCCGGCCGAGCTGGCGGCTCTGGAACGCCGAGTCCTTCACCTGGGACGGGACCCCCCGCACGCGGCCCAGGTACGGGAACGACGACACCTGGGGACAGGTGAGGCACGGGAGGGACAGGTGAGGGACAGGTGAGGGGCTGGGGAACCCCCCAGACCCCGCCCAGGTACAGGAACGAGGACACCTGGTCAGGTGACAGAGGTGAGGCGTTGGGGACACCTGGGACACACCTGGGGACACAGGTGAGGGACAGGTAAGTCAGGGATACACCTGGGGGGGGGTCTGGGGACACCTGGGGGTTCCCAGGTGACCCTCAGGTGTCTCAGGTGTGACTCAGGTGTGACACAGGTGTGTCTCAGGTGACACAGGTGACCCCAGGTGTGTCTCAGGTGACACAGGTGACCCTCAGGTGTCTCAGGTGAGTCTCAGGTGTGACACAGGTGACCCTCAGGTGACACAGGTGACTCCAGGTGTGTCTCAGGTGTGTCTCAGGTGTCTCAGGTGTCTCACCTGCAGCACCTGGGCCCTCTGGATCAGGTAGGGCAGGTCGAAGTTGTGGCTGTTGGGGGGGTTTGGGGGGTCCCTGGGTTTTGGGGGGCTCTCAGGTGTGTCAGGTGACACAGGTGTGACTCAGGTGTGTCTCAGGTGTCTCACCTGCAGCACCTGGGCCCTCTGGATCAGGTAGGGCAGGTGGGAGCTGTGGCTGTTGGGGGGTTTGGGGGGTCCCTGGGTCTGGGGGGCTCTCAGGTGAGTCCCAGGTGTCTCAGGTGTGTCTCAGGTGTGTCTCACCTGCAGCACCTGGGCTCTCTGGATCAGGTAGGGCAGGTTGAAGTTGTGGCTGTTGGGGGGGTTTGGGGGGTCCCTGGGTTTTGGGGGTTCCCCAGGTGACCCTCAGGTGACCCCAGGTGAGTCCCAGGTGTGCCCTAAAAAGCGTCAGAATCGCTTCTCTGCAGCGACACCTGGTGGCCAAAAAGCGCAACTGCAGCTCAAAAGACACAACCAAAAATTGAACCAAAACTGCCCAAAATTGAGCTGAACTCACCCAAAATTGACCAAAAACCTCTCAAAACGGAATCTGAGACTCCAAAATCGGGTCCAGCACCCCAAAAACCAGTCCCAAAAAACCCCAAAAATGCGTCAAAAATGCTTCACTGCAGCGACACCTGGTGGCCAAAAAGTGCAACTGCAGCTCAAAAGACACAACCCAAAATTGAACCAAAACCGCCCAAAATCCAGCCCAGGACCCCCAAAAAACGCAAAACTGCCCCAAATCCCTTCCCAGTCCAATCCCAGTTCCCTCCCAGTGACCCCAAATTCCCTCCCAGTCCCTCCCAGTTCCCCTTTAACCCCTACTGTTGGGGGGGTTTGGGGGGTCCCTGGGCCTTGGGGATTTTTGGGGGGGTCCCAGGTCACACAGGTAACACAGGTGTGACTCAGGTGAGTCCCAGGTGTCTCACCTGCAGCACCTGGGCCCTCTGGATCAGGTAGGGCAGGTGGGAGCTGTGGCTGTTGGGGGGGTTTGGGGGGTCCCTGGGTTTTGGGGGGCTCTCAGGTGACCCTCAGGTGTCTCAGGTGACCCCAGGTGAGTCCCAGGTGTCTCAGGTGAGTCCCAGGTGACTCAGGTGTGTCTCAGGTGTCTCACCTGCAGCACCTGGGCCCTCTGGATCAGGTAGGGCAGGTCGAAGTTGTGGATGTTGTAGCCCGTCACCACGTCGGGGTCCACGATCCGAACGAACTCCGCCCACGACTGGGGAGGGGGAGGGGCCTCACTCACCTGGGACCCCTCCCCACACCCCCCAAAATCCCCAAAAAACCCCCAAATCCCCATTTTTCACCCCAAAATCCTTCGATTTTACCCTAAAATCCCCATTTTTTACAGTAAAATCCCTCAATTTTACCCTAAAATCCCCATTTTTTACAGTAAAATCCCTCAACTTTACCCTAAAATCCCTCAATTTTACCCCAAAATCCCCATTTTTTGCACCAAAATCCCTGGATTTTACCCTAAAATCCCTCAATTTTACCCTAAAATCCAAATTTTTTTACACCAAAATCCCCAGATTTTACCCTAAAATCTCCGGTTTTTACCCCAAAATCCCCATTTTTTGAACAAAAATGCCTCAATCTTACCCCAAAATCCCCATTTTTTAACACCAAAACCCCAAAATCCCCATTTTTCACCCCAAAATCCCCACCTGCAGCAGGTCCCTCTGGCAGTCGAAGCTCTCGACAGCGGCTCCAAAACCACCCCTGAAACCTCCATAAATCCCCCCTAAATCACCCCAAAACCACCCCAAATCTCCCCTAAACTCCTCAAATTCCCAAAAAACCCCAAAATCCCCGTTTTTCACCCCAAAATCCCCACCTGCAGCAGGTCCTTCTCGCAGTCGAAGCTCCTGACGGTGCCTCCAAAAACTCCGAAACACCTCCCCAAAACCACCCCAAAACCACCCAAAATCACCCCAAAACTACCCAAAATCCACCCCCAACCCCTCCCAGACCCCCCAAATTCCCAAAAAGCCCCAAAATCCCCGTTTTTCACCCTAAAACCCCACCTGCAGCAGGTCCTTTTCGCAGTCAAAGCTCCTGACGGTGGCCCCGCGCACGGGGGCGCAGCTGAGCAGGGTGAACACCACCCTCAGGAAGGGCTCGCGCGCGCCCTGCCGCAGCGCCACGGCCGCGATGGCGATCACCGGGTCCTGCTGCGGCTCCGGGAACACCCCTGAAACCCCAAAAACCCCAAAATTCACCCCAAAAATCGGCTCCGGCACCCCAAAAAACCCCAAAAACGATCTCAGAAACCCCAAAAATGCCCTAAAAAGCGTCAGAATCGCTTCACTGCAGCGGCACCTGGTGGCCAAAAAGCGCAACTGCAGCTAAAAAGACACAACCCAAAATTGAACCAAATGTGCCCAAAATTGACCTGAACTCACCTAAAATTTGACCAAAATCGTCTCCGGCACCCCAAAAAACCCCAAAAACGATCTCAGAAACCCCAAAAATGCCCTAAAAAGCGTCAGAATCGCTTCACTGCAGCGGCACCTGGTGGCCAAAAAGCGCAACTGCAGCTAAAAAGACACAACCCAAAATTGAACCAAATGTGCCCAAAATTGACCTGAACTCACCTAAAATTTGACCTAAAATCCCCCAAAACAGAGTCAAAGACCCCAAAATCGGCTCCGGCACCCCAAAAAACAACCTGAAAATCCCCAAAAATGCCCTAAAAAGCATCAAAAATCTTCTCTGCAGCGACACCTGGTGGCCAAAAGTGCAACTGCAGCTCAAAAGACACAACCCAAAATTGACACAAAACTACCAAAAATTGACCTAAACGCACCCAAAATTGACCTAAAACCTCTCAAAACTGAATCTGAGACTCCAAAATCGGGTCCAGCACCCCAAAAACCAGTCCCAAAAAACCCCCAAAATGCGTAAAAAATGCTTCACTGCAGCGACACCTGCTGGCGAAAAAGTGCAACTGCAGCTCAAAAGACAGAACCCAAAATTGAACCAAAACCGCCCAAAATCCAGGCCAGGACCCCCAAAAAACCCGAAACTGCCCCAAATCCCTTTCCAGTCACGCCCAGTCCCCCTTTAACCCTCTCCCAGTCCCTCCCAGTGCTGCCAGTCCCCCTTTAACCCCTCCCAATCCCTTCCCAGTTTGTTCCAATCCCCCTTTAACC